GAGTGAAGTCCTGCTTCGAAAAAAATTCTCCCACTCTATTCTTGGATTTATAGCTCAAGGTTTTCACTGTAATGGCTCTTGTAAATTAATTGCAGACACAATTGTCTATGGGCATTCTCCGAATAAGTGGCAAGTAGTTAATTGCACCCTGAATTAGCCAATTCGGCCCATAATTAACCATTTGAGGACAATTAATTGCATGCATAATATTTGCACCTGCAACTAATTGGAGACTCTTATATTGTTCCTGGAAGAAATAAATAAATAAGTAACAAAAACAACAACAAAAGAACCAGGGGCTACTCTTAAAATGGAGTCGTTTATAGAAAAAGGTTCCCTAGTGCTGAGGAAACACTCATCTCTGTCACTGCTGCCTCAGTGGAGAAGCAATTTTAAAACATCCGGGACTAGCTAGGTTTGCAGGACATTATTTTATACATTTTTTTTTCTTTTTTCTCCCTCCCTATTATTAATGGGAGGGAGAAAAAAAGGAACTTAATTTCTTCAATTAATGTAATCAAAAAATGTAAGACTATCCAGGTTTGGAAAAATAAAACATCACACATATTGAAATAACGGTGTCGTTTTAAAAGAAAGGCTAAGTCCTCTTATCTTTGTTATTGTTTCACCCATAGGCTGACTAAATGTGCTTTTAGTCAGGAGGGAAGGAACAAACGTTCCCCCAGACCTTGAGGTCAGGAGAAGAAGAACCGCATATACATCTTATCATGCTTCCGCTGGCAGGTGAGGTCTGTGGATTAGCACAATCTCTTTTCAGTCATTAAAAAAAGTAAGTTGCTGTGATTAATAATAACAAGGACAATACTAACAACCATTACAACAATAACTGCAGTCACCACATCGTAAATACTTTAGCCTACACTTTACCTAACCTCACTTAAATTGTTATAACAATTTCAGAAAGACTTTTTTTGCCCATTTTGTAGATGAGAAAATTGTTCAAAAAAGCTTCCTAACTTTCCTGATTACAGAGGTACATTAAACTTGTATAATTTAATCCATATCAAGTGCTTAGCAAAGTACCTGAAACATAGTCAATACTCAACTAAGATTAGCAAAGTATTTGTAGCCCTAGTGATTACTAAGTTTATTCTCTTTTCATGGACATGTTGAGGATAGAATTGTAAATCTAAAAGTTGATGTATATTCAGTGTTCATGATGTGCTAGTTAATGTTCTAAGTGCATCAAAGTGTAAACTCAGTAACAAAGCCATGAGAATTATACCACTGCCATCCCCATTTTACAGATGATGAAACTGAGGCAGGGAAATGTTAAATAGCTTGCTCAAAGAATATACAGCTGGCAAGGGGATGAGATGAGGGATTCAAATATCAAAATTCTGGCTCTAAAATGTGTGGATTTAGCTACTGCATGATTTTGCCTCTTATAACCTGGACAGAAGGATTTGCCTGTAAAAATGTGTGTGTGTGTGTGTGTGTGTGTGTGTGTGTAAACTTGGATGTGATGGAGCTGTCAAAAACCAAGACATATAAAAACGGACCTGGGGGCTTCCCTGATGGTGCAGTAGCTGGGAGTCCGCCTGCGATGCAGGGGACATGGGTTCGTGTCCCGGTCCAGGAAGATCCCACATGCCGCGGAGCGGCTAGGAAAAAAAAAAAAAAAACGACCTGAATGCTAAATGCTTGCTTTCTCGAAGGCCAGCAGAACCCAGTGGGGGAACACTGTCTTTCCCGCCTTTGTAAGAAGCTGGAGCCCACTGGCTGAAAGTTAGTCCCTGAAGGGGGTTATCTCGATGACTCAGAAGCCACGTGACGACTCCTGGAGAGGAGTGATTGAGAAATGCAAGCGGGAGGGAAGGGGGAGAGCTAAGTGTCCGGGCCAGGCCCCAGCAGACGGCGAGGCAGAGGGCAGGGGCTGGGGCGTGTGGTCCCCGCCCACAGGAGGGGAGGGGAGGCACCAACTGGAGAAAGGGGGGCAACAAGCGAGGGGCTTGCAGGGCAGAAGGGCCACCCCCCACCCCCAGCCCTGGGTCATCTTAGGCACCCGGGCCCTGGGGGTCTCACTGGAGCCTTGAATGCAGCTGAATGGCCTTCCTGCAGGAGCGCTTTCCTCGCCGGACTGGAACTACACCATGTTACAAGCTTCAAGTCCTAATGGTTGATCTTCTACCATTGTGTAAGAGAGCTTAGGAATGCCGGCTAAATATCTGATGAAGGATAAAAAGAACAAGGTTCAGGCAAATGGAGCAGACGGAGAGGGGACTCCTGGTGGCACGGAGGTCAGCACATCACCGCAATTCAGCACCAGAGCTGACAGCCAACCCTGGCAGTCAGGGAAAACAAGAAATACCAACTTTGAGGGTATATAAGATTTATCATATGACAATGATAAGCTTTCAAGACATCAGAAAATGTATGCTTATTTTTTCCCCTATAAAAAAAAAAACCCGAAACACACATTGTCAACTTCACTAATAAAAAATTTGAACAAGACAAAACAAGGGATAGGGCCCATGCCACAGGGCTAGGCCTCTTTACCATCTGGTGGACGGACATTCATTAATCAAAATATTGATAGAAGGGTTTTACAATCAGACCCAAATCCAAACTCTTCCTTTCACTGTATTTTCTCAGCTTATGCGCAAGATGAAAGAGTGTTCTGAATGGCTTGTGGAGTCAAGGACCAGCAGACATGTGTGCACATCCACACATGAGCAGCGCCCACACTTACATTTCCTCCACTTTCTAGGGTAGTTCCTGATCAACAGAAACAAGTGTTCGTTTTCTAGGTGCTCTTAGAAAGCTGTTTTCTCCCGGTAAAGAAATCCTTCCTTTCTTTTCAAACCATCTGCTTCATTATCCACACTAGTGTTTGTTTGTTTGTTTGTTTTTGCCACAGTTGAATGTGAAGTGTTTGGGTTCAAATTCTACCTTTCCTTTCCTTTGCAACATATGATCACAGCTTGTATTGTACTATCTGAAATTCACCATGACTATTTGGACATTGACGAAAGCAGTTTTGTTATCTAATATACAAGCCCTTTAGGGTATTGTAAGAGGGGACACGCAGGTCGTCGTGGTGATGCTCCTTGTCTGCCCGTTTTAGTTGGGCGAGAGAGACCCAGTTTGCCTTGTGGAATTAACCTTTCCCTGACACACACTGCAGATTTCACCTTCTAGAAGGATGAGTCATTTTGAATAATTTGTACGTTCCCCTGTCTTATCTCCATCAGGAGACCCATCCCGTCAAGCCTGGGAAGTAGCTGTAGTTACATTTGGTTATTATACACATTTTGGACTGCTTTTATAGATATCTGGATGTCGAAGTTGTAGTCAACCATTATCTTCTGTTTCCTCATTCCTCAGATATTTTTTTGAACTCATATTATTATACATATTACTTATTGCCTCCCTCCCACGCTGGATTTTAAACCCCAGTTCTGTCTCTGGAGAGAAAGTCAGCACGTAATTCATATGTAAGGGGATCCATCATGGACTGACCTCTGCAGCAGCCGGTTTACTGTCTGACTTCTCTCTTCCCTAGCATCCTAGCTTCCTGAATAAAATTGGCGAGCACCCTGTGAAATACATGGCTTAGGAAAGGAGATCAGTAGCCTGCCATCGCCATCTTCTCTCTCCCCACGTAGAAGCAATTCCCCACGGGGAGGGGCTTCTGGGGGAGGGGAGAGGTTGGAGGTCGGGAACAGAGAGAGGATGGAGAGAAAAGGCAAACAAACAAAAAAAAAGACTTAGGTCAGACTCCTAGTCTTGTAAGATAGTTACTTTTCCCCCGAGCTCCTCTGCTTCCATATTTATCCTCATTTTAGGTATTACCATCCACAGAAACCTCTAGATTCCAACCTCCCGTCCATCCCCTCCCCCTTCCCTTCCACTCCCCCTGAAAGGCACACAGCCATGCATCTAGGAGCCTCCAGCCCCCACGTTAGCAGGAGCTCATTCATGCATAATTTATACAGGCCTGCATCCTCTGACTAATGCCGCAACACGCAGAGCCCTACAAAAGCAATGCAAAGAGCTGCTCCTGGAACAAGAGGCACAAATCAGATGGTGGTGTCCCAGTGGTGTGCAAACACGTGCCTTAATAACGGGAAAATCTCTGCAGCCTCCGTGGGCTGAGCTTCACAGATGCCGGCATCTCCAACCACTGCACCGCTTCAGAGCACGAGTCACAACAGAGCCTCTTCTCACATTATTTGCAAGATGCTCACCTTCCTCGCTCTTCAAACGTGACCCAATCGCCGCCTCCCAGGCAGTGGCGAGGTGTAAAGTGTGGCCCTATTATGTGGGGAGCTATTATGGAAACAAGGGGATGGGGAGGGGGTCAGGAGAATTAAGAGTTAGCATCTCATTCATTTACCAGTGTCCCCTACCCCACCATACACGCATTTTAAAACACGGTTGTTTAAAAAAAATGGACGAGGCGCAGTGGTTGAGAATCTGTCTGCCAATGCAGGGGACACGGGTTCGAGCCCTGGTCTGGGAGGATCCCACATGCCGCAGAGCAACTGGGCCCGTGAGCCACAACTACTGAGCCTGCGTGTCTGGAGCCTGTTCTCTGCAACAAGAGAGGCCGCGATAGTGAGAGGCCCGCGCACCACGATGAAGAGTGGCCCCCGCTTGCCACAACTAGAGAAAGCCCTCGCACAGAAACGAAGACCCAGTACAGCCCAAAATAAATAAATTGATTAATAAACTCCTACCCCCAACACCTTCTTTAAAAAAAATAAAATAAAATGGATGAAAACAAAACTCACAAACCCGGGAGCCAAAGGCAGACGAATACACACGGTAGGGAGGCATCCTGGTCTCAGGTCTGCCCTCCTTCTCCATCTTGGAGGCTACATCGCTCCATCTTCACGGCTTCCACCAAGGCTGGCCTTTCAAGTGAGTCAGACCCTGAAGGTCCGCTTCATCAAAACCACACTGTTCCTTGACCATGGTTCTTGGCAGTTCAGTCTCAGAGATGAAATATTAAAGAAAAAAGGAGGAGATGGCAAAAGAAAACCACGGAGTGGGTTGAATATTTTGTTCTGGTATTATCTCTGGAAGAGAAGAAAGAGGATAGAGGGGTAATCAGGCCTGTGGGATCCATTTTTCCTGAGAAAAAGGCAGGGGTTTAAAGCCCAGGTCTGGGCATTTTCAGACCTAGGCTGAGGTAGGTTATCATCAGTGCCTTGTTACACAAGTGCATTAAAAATACCCAAGACGTTGGGCTTCCCTGGTGGCACAGTGGTCGAGAGTCCGCCTGCTGATGCAGGGGACACGGGTTCGTGCCCCGGTCCACGAAGGCCCCACATGCCGCGGAGCGGCTGGGCCCGTGAGCCATGGCTGCTGAGCCTGTGCGTCCGGAGCCTGTGCTCTGCAATGGGAGAGGCCACAGAAGTGAGAGGCCCGTGTGTGGCAAAAAAAAAAAACCGAGACAAAAAATCAAGACTCTCAGAGAGCCTCTATATTATATTATTGCCCTTGCACAGTGAAAACCAGCAGTATATTAAGGTCACAATTTCTTGTGGAAGTACTCATTCTATGTGGAGTAAAGCAAAATTCTTCCTATAATACTACACCTAGAATCTTGTTTGGCGGCTACATCAGGGGTGTGGAAATATGCCTTTGATTTTTACTGGTCAATATAGAGAATCCTGTGAGTTGGGCATAGGTGGGCATGTGGAAACTTGTCAAAGGAAAGAAACAGATATTTCAAATTTGAAAATAAAGTTATGCTCTGAAAAAATAAACCTTTTAAAAATTTCATTTTTTTCAGATTTCTAGTAAAAATATGGCTTTTTAATAAATATTACTGGTGCAATTGACTATGAACAAAAGTAGTTTATGTCATTACTTTACGTTAGATTTTAAAGGTCAATTAGAAATTGATTAATGATATAATTGCAAAAAGAAAAAAAAAATATCATTAACAAAATATAGAACGATTTGCTTAAGTTCTCAAGGTAGAGGTTTTTATTTTTTGCTTTTTTTCAAAAAGTTTTAATTTTATATTCACCCTTTAAAATTTCTAATTAAACTTGTTTATGATGATTTTCTTCTATATATGGTTTGGAAAATAACTGTGTCTTTATTTTATCAACCAACACATATTTGGCTACATCATATCCGTAATGTATCTAAAGTGTGGGTTAAAATAACTAACTGCAAAGAAAGTACAATCTTTTGTGCAGAGAAAGTTTAAATTAATTCAGTGACTGGCATGTGCTGGAATCCTGCTCTGCGCACATTTGAGGAATTATGAAATTCAGGATTTAATTTGTGGGCAATGGCCCTTCACGCCCCCTCACCTACTCTCCTTGTGAAACCATGAGCGGAGAAACAGCCCCACGGCACATGGCATTTCCCTTTCCTTTGCGGTAAAGTCTACGTAAAACATCTGTTGGTTTTACCAAGAGAGAAGCCTCAAGATTACGAAGAGCAGGCATCTAAACTCTAGTGGTTTTCCAGATGCCTTTGAATTCTACACTCAGGTAGGCGCAAGACCAGTGTCAAACACGCATGAAGCTGCCCACTGTCCGGATGCTCTGTCCTGTCCAGGGAGGTCCTCTCCTCCAGCCTGTGTCTGCCCACCCTCAGACTTGCAGAGACAAAGTGTTTGCTTGAATTTAACTTCAAGTAATTGTATCTAATTTTTAAGTATCGTAGAATTCAAATCTTGGGGATAGAGTCTTTTTTTGTTATTTCCTTATAATTTATTCAATGTCATAGATAGGAACTTTGGAAATTTAAAGCACTTTATCCTGTTCTTAATGGATTAAAAAAAAAAAAAAACATAGTCATCAAAACGTTATATAATTGAATTTTCCTAAAGTTAGAAATGAGCCAAACCCTACAAACATGGTCATATATCTAAAGAGCTTCAGTCTCACATAATGCAGGCTGTTTTGCTAACAGAGTTCCAGGAAAAACAATGGAGCTGATGCTTTCAAAAAATTTTCATGTCATGGTGATTACAGGGTAAGTGTAGAATAGGTACATTCTGAGCCTGGAATATCGTTTTATACCAGAAAGTAGTGAAGTGCTCAAAACAAAGGCAAGATGTCAAAGAGAAGCTGGAGCCAGCTTGGGGGGCATCAAAATAATTAAACACTAATAGTCATGAGTCCAGAGTTCATGCCAATAATACATAAGAAACTGGGGGCTGAGAGCGGGCAACTGCTTCCAGTAGAACTTTCAATGCCAGCTAGCAAGTGTGAAAAGAATGCAGTAGTTGGAAAATCCATCATTTCTCAAACATCACAGTAAATACTGATTCATGAAGACAATTATCAATTGATTCTAAATCAAGGGGGACATTCTGATGAAGAACAGAGCAGTATTTATTTGCATGGTTTATTGGCTGCAAAATAAAATTCTAAACTACACTGCCAGAGAAATTGGAAAATCCCTTGACCTGGAGATCACGGATGTGGATATGGTGGGCTTCCAGACGAGTAGGCTGAGGAGGACTCAGGATCACCTACACTGTGTTGTGGCCAGAAGATAAGCTGGATGTAGTCATGGAGCAACACCAGGCAAAACCCAACTCAGAAATGCAGCATTAAAATGGAAAGGTGCTCTATTCTCCAAAATGTCCATGTCATAAAAGACAAGGAAAGACTGTAAAATGATCCAGACTAAAAGAGATTAAAGAGACAAAATAAGCAAATGTAATATGAGATTCTAGACTGGATGCTGTACTGTCAAATATATATATATATATATATATATATATATATATATATATATATAATTAGGTCAGTTGACAAAAACTGCAATAAAATGATAGGTTAGATGAAAGTGTTATATCAATATTAATTTTACTACAGCTTATAACTGTACCATACGTATGTATGAAATACACACCAAAGAAAACAATCTCAGAAAACAATCATGTGTGTAGATGTTTATATGTGTGTGTATATACGTATGTATATATATGTGTATACATATATATATATAGAGAGAGAGAGAGAACACAAATGTGGTATTCAAAATAAATAAATCTAGGTAGAGTATGTAGGTGCTTTTATATTCATTTTTTATTCTTGCAACATTTCTGTAGATTTGAAAGCTTTTCCAAATGCTTCTGGAGAGTTTCAGAACATTATTTCACATAAGAGAAAGCATGAGCTGCATACAGTACACAGTATATCCACAGTCCCAAGAAGCTTCTCGACGGACCTGGGGCTTCAGCCGTGTACCACCAGCCACTTCACTGAATGACACTCCTCTTCACAAGGCAGTAGAATCTCTCCCCTTTGCACATGAAATTCTCTGAAATCCTCATTTCTCTTCCCTTTCTCCAATGTGGCTTGACTCATGGAAGGGTGGGGTGACCATCTTCTGCTGTGTGATGTTTGCAACCTTAGATGTGGAAGCAAAGAATGCCTGCCTGGTGGAAGCTCTGAGCAGCAGGTCCACTGGTGTCCACACGTTTAGCCCTGAGAAGTACACTGCTTCACCTGGCATCACTGAAGAGTCTTGAAAAACAGGAAGCCTTACCACGTGGAGATGTTTGTACTCAGAGACATAAGTAACTAAGGACAGCAGCTCTGGTGAATGTCATCTATGTCTTTAATTATTTTGGAAAGGGTTTTATTAGCTTCAGTTATTTGTTTGCTCTTTTCAATATCTAGTTTTGTGGTTTCTAGTACCAGTGTGGAAAAGTGCAGGTATGAAAAAAAAAAAAAAAAAACACCCTTTCACAAATAACAGCTACACAACCTTAGTTAAGTACACAGGTGATTCCCTGCGGGCATAGGAATCTGAAGGAGAACAGGTGACCTTAAAGGGAAGCTGAAGCTTGAATCCAGTAGTCGGTAGGGTGTGTGTCCCGCAGTGGTCCCTGGTTTCCCCACCGGGTGGACACACTGGCCGCAGTCGGCTGTGACTCTCACCACGTGCCATGAAACACCTAACACACTGTCCCCTGCAACACTCACTCACTCAGAGCATCCACACCCCTTTCCTTTGCAAAAAATCTAACTGATGCTTTAAGAAATGGAATCCGTTCTTGGGATTTTTTCATGTAAGAGAAAGCGATTGTTTACAGATAACCGTGGAACAATCACCTTTGTCATGAGCACATTAAACCACACACTGGGAGCAATAGCTGCCAACAACACAGAAGGTTCCAGCTCTTCAGCCTCTTGGTGCCCAGCTGTCCTTCACGTTCCTCTCATGGTGGCTTTTTCCCATCAAGGTCTGGAAAAGCAACTGCAAAGTGGAAGCAAAAACTCTGTCAGAAAAGCAGGATGATGGGCATGAAAAAGCATGACACTCCTGCACAAACCATTTGCTTCTCCCCCCTCAGGTAGGACGCTGTCACTTGCATACCTGCCACAGGGATGCCAGTGCCTTGCTTTCAAGAACCTTTTCAGGAATAATGGCTTTTTGATTTGTTTAGAAGAAGAAGTGTCTGGTGATCAGCTAGGTGAATGTGAGAGGTAGAAAGCCCTTAGCTTAACAAGAAGCGAAAGACCAAATACCTACCAAATAGTGTGGAATATAAAGAAAACCAGAACTGTAATTAAAACCCAAAGGCCCTCTTGCTAATAATGAATAGAATGGCCTTTCTCGGGTCTAATGCCAGTTTATGCCATCGAAGTGTGCTTATCTAGGAAAAAGATGCTCATCTAGGAAAACCCCACACCTCCATGGTAGATGCTGCTATGAATGGAAAGGGGATGAGAACTACTGGGGTCCTAAGAGTTTGTCCCAGACAGATCCGAAAAGCAGATGAAGGGACAAAGCATGAGAAGATGATGGTGCCTCTTTGGGTCCTGGGGAAGGTTACACATAAAAAGTCACGCTTTTGAATGCTCTCACACTCCCCGCTGCCACCCACCAGATACTATTATTTTATCTCCTTAGCAAGAGCAAGGATTTTAAATCCGCCAGAAAAGAAAATGGAATAGCTATTGATTGAAGGCGCTAAGAGCCTAATTTCAGTATTACATCAAAATATTCAGGTCCTACCCCACGGACCAACCCCGGCAGTAAACTTTTGGAGAAATAAAGAAAATCAACCATTCTGACTCTAGTTCAGAAAAAATTTAAAAAAACAAATAAGAAGAGTTTTCACTCATTTTTCGTTAAAATCGACAGGCCCCCTGCTACATCACGGGCTGTGGGCTAAGTACTAGAAATGTGCATCGTCAAGTCCAGCCTCTGCCCTCTAGTCACAAAGACCGAAGGCAGAAAGGAGAAGAGGACTTTCCTATAAATAGTGTTCTTTCCAAACGAACGTCCTCTATACTTCATTGCTCACGCAGATGCCTACTAGGCCTCATGTTTTCAAAACCACAATTGTCTTTCACTTCATTCTGAATAGTTTTGGGGTAATCTTACAGCCAGTCCTGCCTTTCAGAGAAACACAGATGGGATTTTTGTGTTCTTTTCAGGTAAGAAGATAATTCACGTTTTTGAGACTCTCCTGCCTTTTTCTTCTCTGCCTCAGCTGTGACTGTCCTAACAATTTCTAATTACTTGGCCTTCAGACGGCTGAGAGGCGGGCGGCTCTGCTCAGAGCACGGCCTCTTTGTTCTGGGTCGGCTCACATGCACCCTTCTCTACTCACATTTATATAGAGAACAGAAAATATTCTAATTAAATCCCATATTTTTCAGATAACTCAATTCAGTAAACTGACAATGATGTTATCTGTGGGCCTGTTGTCATATTTGATCAAGTTCTTTCTACAGCTATATGATCTCCATAAAACCTCCCTGAATGGTTCAGTTGAGACGAAACTTCAAACAGAACTATTCTTCTGTTGTTTCCAGGATCTGTGGGGTTAGAAGGGGAGGGGGGAGTGATGTTTGAGAGGCTCGTATTACTCACATGGAGTGATTCTTAAGTGGTTTGTTTTAAAATTTTTTTTTAGAAAACCAACTTCCCCTGATCTTCGACTTTTACTGTTTTGCTACAAAACCCCACTCAGGGCACAAAAGGATGGGTATTTTCATTTACTACTAGAGTGCAAAGAATGAGGTGCTTTAAGATTGCACCTTCTTCAAGCTGAAATATATACAATATCTACTATTTTCCAGACCCCATAACTGCATCTTCCATGCATTATCTCGTCTGATGCCTAGAACAAACTAAGTTATTAATTGAACTTTGGAGAAGAGGAAATTGAAGCTTTATGCAGACTAAATATCTTGTTAAGGTCACAGAGTAAAGAAAATACTTAGGAGCTTATAGAGAAGAAGGGGAGGAGGAAGTGGTGCTGGGAAATTAAGTTCTGATCTATGGATCCATATCAGTTAGGGGTCCAAAGGGAAACATACCCCAAATAGGAGAATTTAGAAAGTTTTATTAACAAAAGCACCGATGACAGGTCTTTGGGTGGGGTATAGGACTTTGGAGGCTGCTATCAGCTGAGCTATTACTCAGCCCCTCCTCTAAGGACCAGGGTGAGGGAAAGGAAGAGGTACCAGAGCTGCCAGGAGACAAAGATGATGGGGTTACATGCAGCAAGGAGAAAAGAAAGCATCTATGGTTACCTTCACTTGGGAACGGCGACCCTGCAAGGATAGAGCCAAGACCCCCTTCTCTTCCTTCACGCTCCAGCGAGGGAAGCCCTCCTGGAGCCCAGAGGGTACAGGAGTCCTGCCGGCAGAGGAGGAGAAGTGGAGAAGGAGTGGTCCTGGAGGGATGGGGAGGAATCCAGGGCGTAGGATCCATTCTCACTTCCCGCCCGTAGCCCTGCTTCTCCCTTCTGCCACCTGCCTCCTGCTAGTGTCTACTTCCCCCTCTCGGATTCACTTAGAGGGATACAGATGACCCACAATGATGACAAAGAAGGCATCTTCATTTCCAGGGTCAAGCAGAGTGGAGCTAAATCCAGAGGAAAGCCTGTAAACAGGGCAGGTGGAGGAAGGCTAGGCTGGGAGCTCACCTCCCTCCTGGGGTCCCTGGCATGGGCATCACCCTGTTCACCTATTTGGGTATGGGTCACTTGGCTGAAATCCAGAGCCATTTATTCATGGCTTTTGGCCATCAGATTTTATACCTGTCAATTAGAACTCCTGCTGAGGGACATTCCGGAGCTTGCCCCGCCCTCACGGATCACTCCATTTCTGCTGTATTTCATACATTTGTTACAACCATTAAGAAGCACATGCCATGAGTTTGCATTAACTTACTATGTGCTGGAGCAACAGATATAATCAGAACCTGCTCTGTCTTTAAAGAATGTTCAGGCTACTAAGAGAATTTAAAAATTCGTATTTAAAAATTCCTACTCCTATAATTCTAATTTACTTTAGGAAGTGTCAAAACCCTGGCTGGTGGGATAGATCAAATCTATTAATTGTTGAGAGGAGGGGAGATTATTTTTAATCTTTGAATCAGAAGCTCAAGGTTCAGGTTAGTCCCTAGTGCAGAATTCCTTAGAACCACCTTCCTGGAAACCTGGAACAATTCTGTTGCAGACGTGGACTCTTGACTCTATCCTCCTCCGGAAAGTGACGCTGACCCGTGCTGTCCAATAGCAGATGATGCGTTGCTTGATCCTGTCCATGAATGGGTTCTCGTGTGTAAGTCTGTTCTCGCCAGCAAAATAGCCAACTCCTCAAAGCCCTCCCTCTGTTTTCTGAATGCCTGCAGCGCTGGAGGTGGTTGCAGCCAGTGAGCACTCAGCCATAGATAGATGAGTAGTTTGAAATGTAAAGAAATGAGCAACATCCCCGAGTTACACAGAAGCCAAAGGTAAGGCGAGACCACCCTGTCTCCAGTGCAATGCCCCCTCTCCATCATATCACCCTGGTGTGAAACTCAGTAAGTGGATGCTAATCCCCCCTTGTGTTAAAAGGAGTCCATCATGAAAATGGAAGCCTGCAGGTTTCCAGTACATGTCCTCTCTTCTCTTCAGGCCTCCAGAAAAATGATGCCACCATTTGAGAAGTGTTTCTTTGTACGTCTGCATCCCTTACTCTCTTGTAAGCCCCTGAGGAACACAATCCGTGTCTTATTTGTCTTAATGTCTCTTGTACAAAACAGTTCCTGATGTGTGAAAGGCATCTGGTACTTGTTCATTGAGAGGACTCCCCCACTGGCTCTTTTCTCTTTTTTATCACTTTTATAAATCTTTAGAGATCTTACAGGCAAGAGACGTTATCAAGGGCCTGTGATACTCTTACACACTATTTCTCAGGTGATTCTTACTAAGGCCTTGTCAAAATGTCACATCAATTCCCATTCTACAGGTAGGAACTTCGAGGCTATGGCAGGTGGAATAATAGTCCATAACACTTCCTGCTTGAGTCTGTGTCTGGGACGGTTCCAAGTACTTTATACATTCTCATGACAAATCTGAGACAGGTGAAAGTATGATCTCCATGACTTACTGAGAGAGGAAACTGAAGCACAGAGAAGAGAGGTTAACTATCTGAGGTCACAGAGCTATTAAATGGGGGTGCCGCAACTCAAGAATGGTTATTGCTTAAGTTCTTAACGACCCACTGTCCCTCCTTTGTTTACAGGGAGGCCAAGGGCCAGAGATGGCCAACCACTGCACCTCACTCCTTCTGTGAAGGACTAGCTTTGTGATGTCAAGACCGTCTCCTTCTCTCCGACCACAGCATCTCCATCTTTGAGAATTTTACCAACATCCGTTTCACTTACACTAACTCTTTCTCCAACATCACCCCCCAGGGCTTGGCCTGTACACTCTGTATAGGAAACATAGATGTAGCCATCACTCTTTTGCTTTCAAAATGCCAACATCTCTGACTGAATTATCTTCAACATTTTACATATACCAAGGAAGTAAGTCCATCACCTGTCCGTGCCTGGGCCCCCCAAAAATACATTTCAAATTTTGACATTCAAAGTGATGTTGAGAAAGAGCTCAAAATTTGGGATCTAAACATGTGCAATGTATCCCTTAATATCCGTGTAACCTTGAATAGTTCATGTCGATTCTGCATGTTTCCTCTCTCTCATCTGAAAAACAGTATTTTATGATGTAAGACCAATTGCAACAACCATGGTAATTAACAATGGAGTATTATGAAGACAAATGAGAGTGGTAAACAGGTTCTAAGATTAATAATGATCAATTAAATGTATGATTGGTATTAATATAAATCCATTTAGTTCCACTCTATCAGAACTCAGACAGAGGCTCCAATGGTGTAACTGTGTCAATAACCCAGGCAGTAGGATGGCAGTCTTTAGACTCCAATGGTTCATTTATTGGTCAATATATG